AACCACTTTCAACCGTTTTCAAATGGTTCTTTGAAGAACTTTACATGACGGGGTCTCCCACATTGAGAGACACCATTTAAATCAGTGTTGCTCAAAGTTAGCCCATGAGGATGTCTGAAGTCACTCTAGCCCCACCCCCTCACCCAATAAAGAGAACAGGCATACTTTCATGCTCTATGTATTTTATTCATTTCTTATTTTCCTTTCACATGTGCATTTTTGAATTATTTTAATAAATAAATATAGTGTAATGTTATAAAATACATTAAAAAACTGAAACCTATCTAGCTTCTTTATTTGTATATTGTTTTGTCTTTTTAGCCTTGGATCCACAAACATTACACTTTTTTACCTCCCAAGACAAAATGCTTGAGCACCTCTAATTTAACCATTCAAACACTTCTTTGGGTTCTCATGGTTCTATTTGTATAACCATTGTTTTTGCTAAAGAATCCATTGAAGAACCATTTGGTTCACCAAGACAGTGAACTTGTGTTTATGGACACTGCATTTATTACTTATTAGACTTCAATATTTTTGTTCTAATGGCCAAATCTGAGAGTGTATGATCTGTGTGAAATTAGCTGTGAACATTTACTTTGCCTGTTGTCTTCTTTCGTTGCCTGTTGTTTTCTTTAAAACCAATGCAGTTTAAAGTGGATCTCGATAATGTAACGTTGCTGGCCACTTCAGCCATCTGCTCTGGACTCACAGCGAACTTTGGCTACCTATCCAGCCTAACCTCCGTCCAGGTCCTGATGAAGATGATCTATTGGCCTCTCCCTCCCTCTGCTGACCAGCTCACTGTCATGGTGCTTAGGCCTGGGTTTTGTTAGGTCCAGGAAACAGACTCTTCCTTCACGTAAACATGGATTTAAAGTCTGTTTGCGTCCAGACTGGTACTGGCACGTAACCACTGCTGTCATTTCTCTCAGATTCATTGAGGAAGGAGATGCAGCTGAAGGTAAAGTGATTGACGGGGAATGCGCTATTGTTTGGTTTATTTTATTACAGCAAATAGACATTTGTCACAGAGTTTTAGTCCATGTGCACAATGCCCTTGAAGTGACACCGTTTCCAAATAAGTTTATTCGAGAGAGAAAAAAAACGATTGTGTTAGTTTATAACATTAAACAATGTTAGTGGTTTAGTGCAGACTTAATGAAATAGCACAATAAAGAGGGCTCTGTGAGCTACAGCTGCTATCCGTCCATGTTAAGGACATCGCTGTCAAGGAGGCCCGTTTCCATAAACGTGACTAAACGTATTTAGCACTCAGATAGGCTAATGCACAGGCCATTACACGGAGAGACTCACTGGGAAATCTTACAATCAGTCGAGCCAGCCAATGGCTAAAAAGGGGTACATTAAGATGAGCCCCAGGTTCAGATAAGATTAAGATAATGCCTAAAATATTACAGCCGTTTGATTCAGTTATTTCATTTGATCGTTGTACATGGGTTAATGAACGAAATATTAATATTTTGGAATATATGTATTTTTATCCATTTGAAAGCACATGAAAACTGCTAATGTATCACACGAGATGTTGCTGTGCAGGAGTCAGAAGGACACGATTACAAACAGCAAGTTTATAAGGCATGGAAAGTGGGCAATGATGACCAACGGACAGTTTTCGCTCTAATGAAAATATACGACGTTTACCTTCAGCTCTTAAACAGGATTTAAGCAATCCAGGCGCGGATTAGCGTCCAGCACAGGCTACAGGAACGTCAGTTATAAAAGGCAGACTAAACAGTTTCTGCCGTGAAAAGACTTTAATTGTACTTCTCATGGCGTTTAACTCGTTGTGCGTTTTGCGCATAAATTTATTCGTCTTTAATAAGTAGGTCGTTTGACTTGAAAACAAGATATCAGACTAATGAAGAGATGCGATTTCGATTAGTTTTCTCTATTTTCTGCAAGCGAGCATGACGACAAAACTGATCATAAAAATTTGCGTGAAATGGTAAAATGTATAAACACGTGTTGGACTGTAAACAAACTGACCAATACGAATGACTGATATTTTAACTAAAATTCTAATGTTCTCACACATATAAAGCTTTCGTTAGCTTTTAATGTTTAATCGAATTAAATCGTGGAGGACTAAAGCTTTGATTGTCGGTTCATTCAAAACTCCAATATAGTCAATGAAGAGGGACAACGAGGCACAATCTGTTTAAAGCAGGCCTTGTCAAACATTTACCACATTTATCCTCTTCCCAATGTGTCAGCACATTTGGATTTATCATGATGGATGGTGGGCATTTTTTAGAAACCGTAACTCTGAGAGATACATAGTGCTGATAAAACTAGTGCTAAAGAGATAAGGCGCACTGAGACAGCTATTCAGTCTGTTATTAGTCTGAAATTACCTTACACGAACCTCCAAATTCATGAGCACCTTTTCCTGAATTACACAGTATTGCTCGGTGCTGCTAAATGACTGCTGTATCGCCATATAACAAAGTTCAGTTTTTTTTATTATTATTTTTTAAAACATTTTATAATCGGGGATGAGCGTAATTCTTCCCCTTCCACACCTCTCTGTCTCCCACGGACCATTTTGAGACATTTATCTTCGGACGGGAAGACATCAGCCTAATCTAAACAGCCCTGTTGATTGCTAACGGATGAGATTATCTCCTCTTACTCGCTCTCCTTTCTTTCCTCTGCTTTTTAGCTGCCACCAGGCTTTTGTCCTTGGCGCCGGGGCTGGGCCGCACTGGCAGCAACGCAGAGCGCAGCTGCCCTCACACACTCATACGGACTGCTTCAGTCCCTCTACTACTAACATACAGAGTCTGTGATCGGTCAGCAGTAAAACATCACACTGTCAGAAAACAAGCTGTGCAGGTACATTTTGTATCCGTCGAAATACAAACAATGTAAAGGTGCAGATTTGTAACTTTTCATGATCGTTATTTAAAACAGAAAAAGCCTGGAGACAAGACAGGGTATGTGGAGTCAATACAAATATAATTATACATATAATTGCAAGGGATTGTGGTACAATTATGTTCCATAAATACACTGTTAGAAGTAAATGTACTGTGCAGGTACAACAGTGGTTTTAAGGTCCAATTATGAACCTTAAATGGGTTTTTCCAATGTGAATGGTACATATTTATACATTTTCATAACCTAATGTTTCAAAAAAGAGCAATAAAATAAAAAAGGCTGAAGACGAAACAGGGTGTGTGGCGTCAATACAACGTAGAAAATATAATTTCAATGGATTATGGTACAATTATGTTCCCTGAATAAAGGTACTGAGATGAACCCTTGAAGGTACCACCCCAGTGACAAGAGGGGTACTAACTCAGTGAGAGTTACTACCTTTTTCTGAGAGTGAACTCTGTCGCGAATAAAATGTTGAGTGTGCCCGAATAAGTGTAATTAACATGATAACAACAACAACAACAACAATAATAATAATAATAATAATAATAATAATAATAATAATAATAATTACAACGTTGAAGAAGTGTGAAAACGTAAGTTAGTCTGTACTTGAAAAAGACGAACAAACCGGTCTTTATACGGGACGGGGAGTATTATCTCTGCAGTTTTTTTTTTCTAATCTAGTTCCTACAGCTCAGAACGAAGATCCAAACAAAAAAATAAGATAATATTTCATCTAGCGCGGGGGATTTTTAATGGATTTTAATTCATGCTAATCATTCATTCTAACAGTAAAACAAAAACAGAGACAACGATCAGTAGTGCATTAAAATCTCTGGGATTCAATGGAAGCCTTAAAAGTGTTTAAAAGGTGCGTTAAGGTGTCTATATAGCAGGAGTTATTCAACCTTTGACTGCTGAAGAAGGACAGACGGTGCCAAAGCTGGAAACAAATGGTGTCACCTTTCCAGGAGACAACGAAGTTCATATTTACCAAACAAGATGAGCCAGACAGACACAATGAAACAAAAAACACGGAAAAACGTCTTTCAAACATTCATTACAACAACATCAATTTGAATAGGGACGGCAGGCGCCTAATGACGAAATAAAGGTTAATCTATACATCTCATTCTCATACAGTGCACTTTCCATCTACAGCAGTACTCAACACCCCAACACACACACACACACACACACACACACACACACATGCACGCACTCTTAAAAGCAGCGTGTAAACACCCACTAAGGCCACAAACAAACTCCTAATCATCCACAACCAAACTGCTCTTCACACTATAGGAAGTCATGAAAGCGTTGCGGTTTATGGCAGAAAATAAAAGGCCAGAAGTGGTCACGCGTGTGCTCAAAATTTCATTCAAACGTGGAGTGAACTTATTTAATCCTCGTGAGAAAAAGACTCAAACCAGTGATTATTTTACAACGTCAGCTGAAACTGGGAGAAGTATATATTTTATACATTCCTCCGCTTGACTGATTTCCAGTAGAGGACAGTTAAAAACCACGCTAAATATTCGTCCTGACCCATAATAAGAGTTGGATCTAGAGATATCCTTATCTGCAAATGCTTTCCACAAGACAGGCGGCGTCACCTTTCCCTGAATAGCGGGTCTATGAAGCACGTGCGTAACTTGGCCACATGTATGAACCGAACCAAAAGCTTTTAATGGTCCTACCGTTGCACATGTGGGCATCGTAAATCAGAATCAAAGTCTAATCAGGGCCTCGCATTTGAGATTATCGCTTATCAGATGTGCTCACTCTGACTCAAACAGAGCAAGAAGAACAGGAGCTCGTGGCTTTGGGAGAGGGGCAGCACTCCTCTCAGTCTTCTTCATCCCGCCCCGGCAGCGTGACATCACCGCCTCGCAGCAATGCCTTTCCTCCACGGACTCCAGCAAAACACACATCAGCTCGAGGGCTCGATGCTGGCACGAGGCGAGCGGCGTCCCCCTCCCTCGTCCCTCTGCGCGCGCACCACCACCGCCACCGTGCCCCGAAAATGGAAGACTAGCCCACGCCATTAGGTATGTTTCCATAACCTTGCTGCCTTATATCTAAAACCTATTATTGTTTTCGAGCGCGAGGCTCGTTGGTGCCCGCAAGCCGCCGGTCCAGCAGAGCCCACAGTGTACATGTGCATGAGCACAGCAGGCCGATGATGCTTCCAAGCCCAGTAACGTCAACCCCGTTTTCTGTCAAGGATATACTGAAGCTGGAGCAGCAGGCCCAACACCTGCACGGGCCGTGGTCACTACCAGGGCAGCAGCAGCAACAGCAGCAGCAGCAGCAGGCCGACTGGCAGCCGCGCTTTCACAGTCCACCGTCTTGCGCGCTCGGTGGCGCGGACAGCCCGGGCTTCTCGGACAGCGAGGACAGGATGGCCTTCCTCAACGCGCTCTCCGTGCAGGACGGCCTAGTGGAGAGCAGCCTCTCGCCCCCCATGTTCGGCCACACCGCTCTGGGACACGTCGTGGACCCCAAGCTGGAGGAGGATCTGGAAGAGCATGAAGGCAGTGAGTTACCTTCAAAACTTTGCGTAATTTTGACATGAAAAAGTTTGATGCAAAAGAAGACAAAAGACACAAGTGGGCTGGATTTCCTATGGAAAAAATGGAGGAAGTAAAATTAGAAGAGGCTTTAGATCACTTTTGTCCAAAAGATGAATGTAATTTATTTAAATATATTTACATTATCTTAATCAAATTAAATGGGGAGACAATCGTCTTTTGTTTAACAATGTATGATTCCGTTTAGCGACTTTGTTTGCACAGCCTTGAAAAAGAGTCAGTGAAGTAGGCCTGTGTAAATAAATGAGATCGGATTCACGCTGTTAATGTCAGTTTAATTCTATCACAGTTGTTAACGTTACATTTTAAGAGAAGGATCATTCATCGGCCTTCATCGGCCTTCGAATCATAAGAGAAAACTTTTACGCTTGTGTTTGAAGTTTGCCGAAACGATCAGATGTTCCCTCGATGTCTGTACACTGCATATTATTTTCATGTTATCACAGTCCTACTGACAGTCTCTCCTCCTTCTTCGTCTCTGTGTTGTTACTGACTCTGCTGTGTCTCGGCTGTTGTTGCAGAGGGCTGCGGCGCCGCGGTGCGCTCCCCGGACTGCGAGGCTGAGGTGTCGGACTCGGAGCGGGCGCAGAGGCCGCGCAGCAGGCGCAAGCCGCGCGTGCTCTTCTCGCAGGCACAGGTCTTCGAGCTGGAGCGCCGCTTCAAGCAGCAGCGCTACCTGTCCGCCCCGGAGCGCGAGCACCTAGCCAGCGCGCTCAAGCTCACCTCCACGCAGGTCAAGATCTGGTTCCAGAACCGAAGATACAAGTGCAAGCGGCAGCGGCAGGACAAAACGCTGGAGATGGCGGGACATCCTCACCCTCCGCCGCCGAGGCGCGTGGCAGTGCCTGTCCTGGTGCGGGACGGCAAGCCCTGCTTGTCCGGATCACAGAATTACAACGCGACCTACGCCGTGGCGCCCAACCCGTACACTTACAACGGCTATTCGACTTACAATAACGCCGCGTACACAAACGCCTATAACTGTACGTACCCGAGCCTACCAGCGCTGCCGGCAAACACTGCGGCCAGTCCGCTAATGAGCATGAGCCTCAGCAACCTCGGGACGCACTCCCAGCCCCAGGCAGCCCAAGGGACAGCTGTTTCACCATGCCAAGGACCTCTGCAGGGCATCCGCGCCTGGTAGTGCAATCTTGTAGACCCCCCGAAATAACTAGCTTCACACCCGTAGCAGCCCCAACGGCATGATATATGATTTTTTTAATTATGACTATCAGTATCACTCTAAGGTTAACAGTATGGACACTTTACGTTGGAGAAGTTCGTGTAAACAACGCTGCGATTGTTCAATGCATGTAAATGAAGTTGTTGTGTTTTTTTATTTTTATTTTCTTTGCTGATGGAATTACTTTGTTGAACGTAAAGTATTAGTGTTGAAAGCGCTGACATCTCATTGCAGATTTCTGAAAGTCCTGTTTTCTGCGCTGGACCAAATTTTGAACACATTCTAGACGCTGTGGCACTCGCAGAGCTACGAACAAAATGCCTTGACCAGTCGTTACTCTTACAGTGTTAAACTGAATGGGAATGTATTGGTCATCACAAAGCAGCTTCACAGAACCCATAACCTCCAGTCTTCCTGTGTGTTATATCCACATTCAGACACGCTTCCTCTTCAGTTTACCACTGAGGCATTTCAAATAAAATTTTAAAAATGAGAAAATAATAATATAATGGATCAAAATTAGCGACCTAGGCTTTGCTAACACCGTACGCAGGTCGAGGCCTCATTAGGGCCTCTATCTAGGATCAGTATGTTAAAACCTTTTAGCCTGTCCCGCTATCATAATGGTCATCTGATGCGCAGTTAAGCAGTTTTGCACCCCCCGTAACCCCCTTTCTAGGGGGGAGGGGGGCGTAATTAATGAAGCAGCGCCAAACTCCTTACGTATGAGACTGTGAGTCAGTGTGTAATGTCTGATAAACATGTTGTTCAAAGGAAACAAAGAAACAAGGGAAAAAAACGTAAGTGACATTTTATATGTTTCTTGATTGTGCATGAGAGCAGTTATGAAATAAATACGGACATAATGATATTCTATTGGATCTGTGAGTAAATAAATGAAGTGGACGGGGTTGAAGACTCGAGACGCTGATTCAGCCGCATTTTCCCAAAAAGTTTTCAAGCACGAGCCCATTTGTTGGAGGGGCCGTTCGTGCTGAGAGAGGCCAGACGCCCACTGCGCTCGCTGACGAAAAGCAGAAGCCTGACGGGGAACTTAAACAGACATAAAGGATGGACATTAATATCGGAGTTAGGTCATTCAACGAGACTCGGTTGCAACTTTGCGCTGTATCTGTAATGCGCATCCGTAATTACAGACCCAGTCTGAGAGAGAGAGAGAGAGAGAGACAGAGAGAGACAGAGAGACGGAGAGAGAGAGATGATTATGATGTGATTTAACAGGCTGTTACCGTTGTTAAAATAGGCTAATGTCATCTGGACAGACTGTAATGAAACGACTTCACAGAAATGCTGCTAAATAAATACAGGGCGTAGTCTGAGTGAGTGAGGGAGCTTTAGTCCATTTTCATTAAGTGCATTTTCCACGGATGACAGTCTGTTTTAACCACAACGATACACATCAAATTCACACTGGTTAAATCAAGCTTTGGTAGAGGCTGTTTAATTTGGGCCATTAGGGCCCCCGCGGCACTGCGTTTATCCTACAGGACCTGCCGAGGTTTGCCACTACACACGCTTTTAATGGAGATGAATAGAAATGTAAACAGAGCGTCAGAGAGGGTTTGTCTGCGCTGATAGCGCGGATGAGCACTTCTCCTGACTACTGCACTACCGGTAGGACATACCTGGTGTCAGGATAAGTGGCCCGGAGCCTTCAGTGTAAATAATGCTGGCGACAGAGCGGCGATGCCTCGGGACTCCGCCTCGCCACGGCGCGTCCACACACCGCGATCTGTATCTGTGGAGGAGATAGGAGCTCTTCCATCAGGCTTAGGAGGCCTAGAGTTTCCCTAAACAATGTCTCCTGGGCAATAGTAGTCAGGGCCAAATAACATTTGGACAGATTTCAGCCCTGCTAGAGATGGATGGTTGGCATGGCAGGATTACCATCAACAATTAACGTCAATCCGGCTGGACTCAAATCCTGAACCCGTTCAATTAGCTCACGCGTCATTCTGTGATCTGGCTACACCAGAGAGTAACCGAGATGAGAGACAAGACCTTTGGTCTCAGATCTTATTGTTAAACGCATCTGTCCTTTTTTAAGCAAAGGACACGGACGCGCAGTACACCTGATGGCCTACACCTCCAGAACTATGTTTTTCTGCGTGTAAACAGAAGCAAAGGACAGAGACCCCAATATGGTGATAAGGCTTAGTCACCATAAACACGCACCCAACAGTGTTTATTTGGCAGTATGTGGGTTCTGGTGGGATTGCAAACAGGAGACAAGCATCACATTAAAGTCAGAGTGTTTAAAATAAAATGCAGAAGCAGGGGTCGCGTAACTTGACTGGCCTGTGTGGGCTGGTGGCTGTTTGCACATGTGAATAATCAACCCAAATAAACTTGTATATCACACAGTAAAGTTTATGCTTCGTTTCTGTGGACTGTAAAAAGGAAAACTATACAAATTTCGCACCGACGTGTTAATTTAGCTCAGTGTTTAATACAGCCGAGTCTATGCTGTCACGTGTTTTTAGTGCTCTCGTTTAAGCTAACTGGTTTATTCAGGGCACCGAAGAACTTACTGCGTGGAGCACACAGAATGCAGACACTAAATAAATAAATGAAAAGAAAATATATATATATATATATATATATATATATATATATATATATATATATATATCATTTTGACGTACTTTAGACGTACCCCGATGTAAAACTTGGGCTCGAATCTAATCTCAGCGCATTTATTGAATGTTCTAGCAAATCCTGAAATTGTATCTGCATAAATACATTCCCTGGATTTCTTATTCCCCAGGAACATTTTTGAGACCAGTTTTTCAAATAAAAGTCATCTATGCAATTATGTTTGAATTAAATAAATGAATGAATGAATGAATGAATGAATGAATGAATGTATTATTATTGTTATTTTTAATAATAATATATAATATATAATTTAATAATTTTAATAATTTATATATATATATATAGGATATATATATATGCGAGTTTTGTAGCTAGTCATACACAATCAACTAAATTCACATTTTAAATGTTTCTACTTCACTGGCTTGTCTTTTTGTTATAATTTTATGCGGATTGGAATCGTTAAAATACAAAGATTCAGAAATACGACATTTAGCGATGTGCCTTAGTTTAGAAATTATTTGCTATAAGTAACGCGTTCAGTTCTGTTACAGCAGTAGTGGATCAGGATCATCCTTTACAGGGTTTTCATTATTGTGTTATAATAACCGTATTGCTGCTGTTCCGACAGTTAATTCCCAGTTACTGCCCTTACTTTTGGTCTGTACATCTTCATTATCCTGTACACCCTGACACCATATACAAACACAGTTTCATTTTACAGTACATAGACATTGTTCTTCAGGATGCAGTCTCACTTCATCTTTCTCTAATATGCTACATTATACAGATCTTCAGAGAGCCCCGCCAAAGTATAAATAAATCATATTTAATATATACGAGATAGAAGAGCTGATCAACGATAATTATGTATATGTACAGAAGAAAATATCTTAAATATCTGTAAAATAAAATTTAATTCCATAGTCTATCATTTTACCCAGCTGACAACCGGACACATACGCTTCCAAGCCGCTGGTTCATCATCCATTAGGTTCGGTGGTTTGTAATTTGTAAGTGTAAAGGAGTCACTGTGAGTTAGCTCTTTATCAGCAGTTAAAGTGTGTGCGCCCTCTATCGAGCATAGCAGGCATGACACCGCACTTCTATGTGCAAAAAGAAGCCACGTGGTGGCGCTACAATCTCATTTCCTACAAACTCACCACGTGTGGGATCTGCTTCCCCATGAAAAGCATAGAAATGATCTGGTTGTCCCCCTAATCCCCAAAAAAAGCCCGGTCACATTTGGTGAGGAAACTGAGAGAGACTGTAGGTCATTTAACACCATTCATTATTATTATTATTATCATTATTATTATTATTATTATTATTATTATTAGTAGTAGTAGTAGTAGCAGTAGTAGTAGTTGTTGCAGCAATAATAATAATAATAATAATAATAATAATAATAATACAGAAGTGATCATCAAACGCTAGCCCACACTTGAAAGTGGCTATATTTTATGCACATCACTTAAATACAAATCTGCTGACAAAATATTTCGATAGACAGATGCAAAATCAGCCTAAAAGTAAGTTTTTAAACTCAGAAGTGAGTGTGAGTGGGTGGTCTAAACGCAGCCCTCCACATTCAGAGTAGTTGTTAGTAACAGGGGGAGATGGTGCAAAACGTGTCTAATTACACTGAAATGAGGTAAACCGCACTGTGAACTAAACACAGTCTGGTGGCCGCTTTCCCTGTAATTATGTTTCCATCCGAGAAGGAAAGAACTTAAAACATTATGCAAATGAGATGGTACGAGTTAGGGGAAATCTGGTAACTGTAGGCTGGTTAATTGTTGCGCGGTCTTTTCTCTTCCTGTCGAGAATGTCCCTCTTTATGAAGTGCTGTGTAACAGATGATCCGTGACTCTAAATCAGCAGTCAAACAACAATTGTTTTAACAATCATGTGTACCCGTTGTATGGAGCTGAAAGAAGCCTCAAAGAGCTTTTAAAATATAGACTTTATGTTGAGGTGTGTAGAGCAGAATAACCGCATATCCAAGTGACTTCTGTGATGTAGTGACTCTGGCTGAGCAGAAATATAAAAATAACGGGTCAAAACTACTTAACTTCTGAGTTACAGAACTGCCGCAGACTAGCACACTGAAGTGTGTTAGGCACTGTTCTCTTGTTGATGCACTCTTGGTGTAATATAAAATGATACATTTCGAAAGCTAATCACACAGCAGGACAGATGCTGTCACCAACAGAACCTATTTAAAAAAGGAATTAGTAACTACATGTTAATAACTAAAATGTAAATCAGGAAAAAGCAGACTACTTTTTTGACCAATGTACTTGATGCAAAATTGTTATTTGAAACTTCTTGAACTGCAGAGAACTACAGTGCAATAGTGTATGGAACTGAGTTTCTACCCACCTTACTTTGTAAGTGCTTTGAAGAGGAAATTAAATTAAATTAAATTTAAACATCCCTTAAGTTGTGAGTAAAAGATACATGTTCACTTTTTCGGTGTTGAAATTAATGGTTTTGGCTGTTACAAGCAAACTTCTAACTGTTTTGCAATATACACCCAAAATACACAGTGTAAATATAAACTCACATGTGCTGTTCTAATGTACTATACAGTGCAAACACCATGTACACATATTTCAGACACAGATAGAAGATCATTTAATGATTCAAATGGAAAGGCATTTATTTCAATTAATAAAATCAAGAAAGTTACAAATTACAGGTCAACCATCAATCATGTATTCAAACCAATGTTCAAACTAATACTGACTGTCCTGGTCTATTTTATCTCTCTCTGACTGGTACGATGTAGACGCTGCATTGTTTTCATCTATTCACGACTTATGGTCATGTCTTCCTGGAGGGTACAAATGCCAGAATACAATATAAGCCAATGGATACTAAACCTGTTCAGCTGTTTTGTTTGTTGTAGTACACTGAGATATAAACCTTCTTTGTGGTTCTGTTTGACAGGCATTGTTTTTCATTGTTCTATCAGTGTTTATGCCCTGAACTGTTTTACCTTTTTCCTGCCTCAACATGATCCAGCTCATCAGCTGATAATCGAGCCCTTCATAAGCTTTGTCAGGTGTGTTGGAGTGGAGAGTACTGAAAGTGTGAAGTCCCAGGAGCAGAATTAAGAAACACTGCTCTGAAATGTCCAATTAAATTTCCTGATCCTCTTCAAAATGGCGAGGCTGAGACCAAATGATGAGCCTTAATGAACTCCAGCTTGGTGCTGTAGAGAACTGGCACATACTGAAGACTCTTCACCACAGATAGAGTGCATTATTTCTCTAGAAAATAACAGAAGGTTATACTGTATTAGACAAGTAGACAATATAACTGAAAAGTACAAGTCCTTCATTCCCAAATTTTGACTCTGAAGCAAACATCACACTTACTGAATCCCAAAGTTACACCTTTAAAGACAAAAGTGACAAAAAGAGCCTCTTTAGACTGATGAAGTAGAAGCCATGGGTCTTGTAAATAGATTGTTCCTATTGTTCAACAAAAACTATAACATAAAATAATAAATATACTGCACACTATTTAAATTTTCACATACACATTAATGTTCTTTTTTGTTTTGTTTTCTTGTTTATTTTGCCTGTTAAAGCATTTTGCACACATTAATGTTTTTAATATCAGCCATACCCCTTATCTCACACACCACAGAATGTAAATGTTTCAGTTGGTGTCATCTTTTGCACTTGGTCTTAGTTGTGCACTAACATCTCTGCTCTGTGTATGTGTAGTATGTGAGGTTGCCTTGAAATGTTGAGCTTACTGAAATTCAACAAGAACAGTAGTCGTTGTGTTACATTCTACTTACTACATTCTGTTAGGTAACGACTATGAGAAGTTGAAAGTGCTCAATTAATTAACGCAGCCAGGTTACTCAGGCTAGTTTTTAGTTACTGTACATACAGCACCTAGGCAGCATGTGTTTATGTGCTCATAAAAACACAAATATTGCAATAATACACATCATCAGTAATAACATCAACATAATACAAAGTAAATTCCAGTATGGTAATGTGTAGCTTAACCATTTCCAAACCTCTCCTCAAGGCAGCCCAGCATTAAGTGTAGTTTTATATAATACCTGGTTTAGCTAATCAATCGATTGTTATGTTAAATCAGGTGTGCTGGTGATGGAATTGAACAAATCAATGGGTGGAGCTGCATATTGAAAAAGTCATATCATAATTTATTTATTTATTTAAAAACACGAAATTCTTGTATTCTTCCACCTATGTATACATACATACATACATATATATATATATATATATATATATATATATATATATATATATATATATACAGAGAGAGAGAGAGAGAGAGAGAGAGAGAGAGTTAGAGAGAGAGAGCATAAGAGGCTTTATCAGTCATAGAAAAAAGACATGTGTTCATACCTAATGAAGAGCTTAACCCTTTGACGTCACCTCTCGAAAAGAAAAAGGAAAGAAAAAAAGTCACTCCTCTCCCAAAACACTGCATTCATAAACTGTGCAGTGGAAGCTGACAGCGCGTCCCCAAGATCCACTTCAGACCTCAAGTGAGATGTCAATTTGCATTAAAAGTAAGAACACACAGGCGAGTCGTTTTAAATGACAAGCTCACATTCTCAGAATGAAGTATGGCTAAACAGATCGGACTGAGCTCTTTCCTGAAGTCTTTAGGGAGCGCGAGCGGAAGGTAGGCTGAAGAAGAAGCGAGGGCGGAGCGAAGCGCCCACTAAGGCCACTGGCACAGCGAAGAGGCAGCAGAGCCACTTCTGATGCAGACATGACATTTTCTGACACATTGCTTCTTGATTGGGCTCCGAGGCGTCTCAGCACAATTAAGCCGAACTTCCAGCGGGAGACCATCCGTCCGTCCTCCCAGCTCAGGACGAGCTGAGCCCTGTCAACACATATCTGGAGAGCTCACCGCCCAGCTTATCACAGCGCGGGGCATTTTGAAGGTGGTGGACATTTCTGTGAAGTAGATGTTGTAAATGGCGAGCTGCCGCACCTCATTCTCTATTCACAACATCTTAAGTGAAGAGCTCGATTCTCAGAGGGGTCTTCAGCTGTCTCGGGAGTACACCGCCGATGACGTCTCCAGTCCCGAGCTCCTATTCAAGACAGGCGGAATGAGTTGTGCTCAGGACAGGAATGAAGAGGAAAGCGGGAACAGCAGGATTGTCCCCTGCCTGCTTGATGCTGATACATCATCTGACCGACAGTCCTGTGAAGAGGAATCTACAGGAGAAGAATGCTCACATGCAGACAGCCAACAGGGTAAGACCGGCCAGTAGAGGTGGTCACAGTCTGATTTCCTACACGCTGTGAAAAAGATGTGCTGTTTTAACTTTAAGAAGTGATCTGGTTTCTTTGAAATGTTAAGATCATTGAAATTACACACGAACATTAATCTTTGGGTTCTATTCTGTGAGATAACGACTATTACAAGTTCAAAGAAGTAAAAAATTTAGCCAGGCTACTTATTTTTTAAAGTTAAAACTTGCCAAAGAATGACTAGGAAAGGTATAGTTAAAGGAATTGGCAGGTTATATTATTATTGTTATTATTTTTTTTTCACAAAATAAGTCAGTAAATTAGGCCTCATAATAAACATTTTGGCCTACACAGATGAAAAAATATCATTTTATCTTAAAAAAGTATGTATTCTAATGAGTCTTCTACTTGAAGCTCTATTAGTAAAATTTTAACTCGCTTTTTAAAACATAATCTCATTTTTACAGTGTAGTTCATTTTAAGAAAAATTTTCTGATGTTTTACAAATTGCTCTATATACAAACTACTAAGTCAATATGACCGACACTGCTTCAGACTGACAGGCTTGCAAACAGCTCGCGCTGATGGTCAGATGTTTTAATAATCTCTTAGTCGCACAAACAGACCTCCTACAATCACTTCATCCAATCTCTACACAGAGCTCGAGCTTCGCCTGCCGGACACTGACAGAGAGAAAGTGGACAGCTGTAATTTCTCGTCTCACCCTCCTAAATCGGGCAAGAAAAGGTCTCGCGCCGCCTTCTCGCACGCGCAGGTCTGCGAGCTGGAGCGGCGCTTTCACGTGCAGCGCTACCTGTCCGGGCCCGAGCGCGCGGACCTAGCAGGGGCCCTCAAACTGACCGAGACGCAAGTGAAGATCTGGTTCCAGAACAGGAGGTACAAAACCAAGCGGCGGCAAATGGCAGCCGAGCTGGCGGCGACCTCCACGGGCGCGCTGGCCAAGAGAGTGGCGGTGAGAGTGCTGGTGAAGGACGACCAGAGGCAGTACAGAGCCGAGGACCTGCACTCCCCGCACGTGCTGCCCTTCTACCAGTCCTACCAGTACTGCCCTTACATGTACTGCATCCAGCCTTGGCTGTCCAGCAACACGCTGAACGGGGGCCTATACTGACAGCTCCAGCTCAGTGACACTGACTGCCAGACAATCTTTCATCAGGCCTACTGCAGTGGACACAGAGCGGTGTGGGGCAGTGTGTCCACTTGTGTGTGCTGTACAGTCGGGAATATTTCAAAGAAACACTCGCCTTGAGCCATGACTTTTATTCTGAAAAAAAAAAAATCAAAATTCAATCTAACCGTATTTCAGAGAAACAAGTAAGTGCCTAAACTATTTTGTGTTACTAGTAATCCTTCTGATAGCATGTAGGCCCTCTGATTTATTTCTGGTGCGAACGCGTTAAAGGTGTCAACAGTCTGAACTGCACACTGCACACTGACGGAGAATCCGCTGGGTAAAACCTGGCTTTGGAGCACTGACCAATAAATTTAAGCCTAAATCAACGGGAAAGTCAAATGTCACTTTGCATTTTAAATGTGAGTTTAAATGTGATTTTGCAAATGTTCATTTGAAGCGACATTTTGAGTGAGAGTGGTCAAATAAATTGTGGACGGCGTTGATCCGACTAATGTGGAGTGTTTTGAGATAACTACAAGATGTAGACTCGTAAGGACGTTATAACAGGTCCAGACAGACTGTGGAGTAACAGTTTAAAAAATGGTTTGTCTAAAGTGTTCGTTGTGTCACCGTCAATGGCTTAAGCATGAATAAATCCAGTCAGAGTAATGACTCACTCATCCATTAACGCAATATAATAATCGCCATCATTTCATATAAGCGGTTACAAACTGCAGCGAAATCGAAGTCAACACTAATTCTGTTTGGTTTGCTTCACATTTTAAAAACTGTATGTAACTGAAAATATGTAGCAATATTCACAATTTATTCACTAAATGAGATACATCTTTTTAAATTTTTTATTTTAATTTAATTATTTTTTTTAACACCAACATAAGATATTTTAAGGCCTAGGCCTGACCTACTTACAAGCTAGTCTACTATTACATTTAAGAAATGTTTCCCTTGGTAACAAATGTAATTTTGTTTTGAAACTGGACGTTGATATTAACTCAAAATAATAATAACCCACTATATATGAAATGCTCAAATGAAATGCTGGCATTATCAGTTCACCACAGCACTGCTTCATAGGACCAGGATATATTCAGCAGCATTTTTGGACAGATAATTTAAAAAATAAGGAACAATTAATGTAAGAGTTTGACATTTTTAGTCCATATCGATTTAAGTTTGTTTTCAATTTCTTATGAGAATGCATACTAAGATATTTAGTCATTAATTGACACTTGGCTTTATATAGTCATTTTGTTAGGAATAAAAATATAAATTACGCTGGATTTTTAAAAGCCACTCAGCTCCGCTGAGCTTGGCACGCGCTAAGTGGAGTATTCAATCTGAACACTGGTTATTTCAGAGTAAATGATTAAGAGCGTAACGACACACATCTGGTTTGACTCATTTAATTTTGGTCTCTGTACGTTTTGTAGGTAAAAGTTTTTCAGTGTCTGTAGAGACCCTATAAAGAATCATTTCTGGCGTCTGAAAACGACCAAAGCTCCGTTTACTGGTTGTTCAGACCCGTAGAAGGCTTGTGGCGTGCATGCGGTTGGATTATGTATTTGGAAATCAAATAATATCAAATACACTTTTCAGGGCACTGTAAGCCTTGTGTAAATCTCGTATGCATGCGGCTTGGTATCTGGCTGGCACCATGAGATGACCCCTCTCCAGAAGAGCACCCACCAATACAGCAGTACATACCAGTACATACAGCAAATCTGTGCAATATTATAAAGGAAAACATGTTCATTTGTATGGAATTCATAGAATTCAAAGACCATAACCTGAATGTTCTGTCCTACTCCAAACCCTTATGAGGAGTGCATTATTACACTGTATATTTAGTCTAACAATCCTTAAATCTATTTCACTGATCTACTTAAAAACACTTCACAACACTCATAAGCAGACTGTTTAAAACCATTTATCTCTTTAACTGTTTCTGTTAGTAAAAAAAACTCTACATAACACTAGAAAAAATTCAAACAAACATTAATGCAGTTACAAAGTAACAAGAATTTCTTTTTTTTTTAAAGCTGTTGTGTTGTGAGCTAGTTAGGACTATGTTTTCTTTACCCTGATGCTCCTCAGCCATCAAATAGTTCTGTTCAAATCCACCAACAGCACTCCTGATTTCATTTAATGAAGTATTGATTAGCCAAACCGGCACTGCATGAAACTACAATTAATACTGGGCTGCTATAGGAGAGGTTTGGAAATGTTTAAGCTTATGTACTGACACACACCAAATGACTTTTTTGTTGTATTTATTGTGATAGTGTTTTTCTGAACAAATAAGCACTTACTACTCAGATAAATAGCTTATTAAATGTAATATTCTCAGGTGCCTAAAGCCTTTGCACAGTACTGTATATATAGAAACAAGGAAAATACAGCCTTCGCACACAGCTGCATGATTCAGATACTGTCAATAGACCATGTCACTGTTTCACAACAGAGCCTGGCTAAAGAACAGCATCCATTAATCATGTGCTGTCGAGCAGACAACACCCTCATATAGGAAGGAGGCACTCTGCAGCTAGATATAACAAAAACAATGCTAATCTCTAATCACAATCACACAACGCTGAATTCAAAGCTCTGAGGTGGCATACATAGTTCAGCTATTCCCTCAGTAACGAAATCACATCTGCAACACTGTCTGTCAGTGTATTCATAGAGAAAACACCAGTTCATTCATTTGAAGATAAACAGAATTAGATTTACTAAATCGTAAATCAAGTCTGGTAACTGAAGTTTATTCATTATTGTTAATTATAGTTAATTACTAACTGATTCTGGTGTTATGAAAAATGAATACTTTGGCTGTGGGTTTTTTTCTTTTTGTACACTTTTCTTCTCCATACACATTTCAGATCTGTACAATTTACTCATCATGGACACAGTTTAGATCATTTCAGGTCAGGTCACTGTTATTTTCTGTCAGAACCTCCAGATCTATGGGTTTAGTTTATTAATTCTGATGGTGAGACAAAAGCTACACACTGGCTCAGTTTTAACACTCACTGTAGTTTTTGATGTTAACTGAGAGATCTTTGAGCCCCTGAGGTAAATATGATCTAAGCATGACACTGCCATATCATGTTCATTCTGGATCTCCTTTTAAGATCAACATATACATTTGCCAGTTTTAGAAATGTTTTATATTTTCTTTTTTATCTAACTTAGTTTAGGTAATTCAATAGCGTGTCAGTAATAATTATGAATTCAAACCAAACAAGCAAACAAATAAACAAACAAAAAACTACTCAGCTGAAGGAACTTGACATACCATAATTCTTTTTTTTCCCCTCTTAAAACATTAACATCTGAATGTATAACTGGTTGCAAGTTTCATTACTTGACAGGCTTAAAGAGGGAAACAGGGTTTATAACACTCTTATGAGGATCATCTTCCAGACAATCAGTAAATACTTGAAATAAATGGACCCACTTCTTTAATATGATGGCAACGTCTGTCTCTGGTGTTAGTGATGTTAATTTTTTCTTGTTAACAGTTTAACAGTGAAAGAGTACCCCTTCAACAAAATATTTGGCAGTTTTCCAAAGCTAAACCACTTTCAACTTTTATGATCACTTCCTAAAAAAAAAATTAGTGAAAGAAATAGGTCTTAAAATAGTTTTAAACAGGTTTTAGTGTCATCTGTAATTACCTTTTCATTTAAAATTACCAATGTACCAGAGTGTTTTCATGTGCAGGTGCTGTTCTCTACTATTTAGATTAACAAAGAGTTGTGTTAAAGTATGATTTCTTTAATATTTTAAATATTTAAACATGTTTATGTACACAATGTATGCAATATACTGAGAAGAAATTCGATTCATGCTTCACTAGTTAAAAATGCTGACAGTAACAATGCAGCAATATTGTGGTAAGAATTTTTGGCTCCATGTAAGCCAGTGTCTGAGTTTATATCACTATACACTCTTCTCACTTTGACCACTTTTAATGAGAAAACAAGCTGTACCTAAACAGTATCTAATTTGTGTACTACCTTTAAAATTAAAGGTGCTAAAGGAGTTCTCTGGAGTGATGCCACAGAAAAACCACTTTTGCCTTCCAAAAATCCCAAAGCATTTAAATGAATTCTCCACTTGTTTTTTTCAACTTAATCTCTATCTGACACATCTACAGAACAGAAAACCCATATAGAAAAGCACTGAAATTCTATTCTGTCTGTTGTACATAAGAATATAATCTTAATGACTTGCCAGGTTAAATTAAAGGTTAAATAAAAATAAAAGAATGAAATTACTGCCCATTGTAAGCAACAAATACCTATAGATGCAGCAGATAGAGATATGACTATAAATCGAAGGAATATTCCTTTAAAAAACATGCACAAAAGTTCTTCTGGGTACCAAAGTTGTAGCTCAAAGTGTAGCTTTTAAAAATCTTTGAAATATTCAGTACGTTGCTAACAAGCAACCTGCTAAAATAAATAATGGCAAAAATTATTCTTATTAAAATTATGTAATATTACCTTATATTTGTTATAAGGTAACAAGTCAAATCAAGTTAAAGTTTGTTTATATATCGCTTTTTACAACAGGCGGTGTCACAAAGCAGCTTTACAGAAAAATCCGGGTCCAAGACCCTATGAGCAAGCCTCCCTAAGAGCAAGAGGAAGAAACCCTGAGAGGAACCTAGACCCGAAAGGGGAACCCATCCTCCTCTGGTCGACACCGGAGAGCAAACAATAACAAAAAGCAACAACAAAGGAATAAAACTAAAAAATAAATGTATCTGTCATCACTATCATGATCAAATTCTCTTGTAGTCATTTCAATAACACTGTGACACACATTGTTTGGACACACAGACCATCAGTAGCACTATTTCTTTCATTTTAGCTTGTAACTCATTATTCATGAATAAGTGAGGAGCCCTAAGTCAGTTTTTCCTGTAGGTTCCTGTTATTGGACCATGAGGGAGCACCCTTTAGGTGTCTGTGTTTATGCAAAAATGCATAGCAAAGAAGTATGCAAACATTTCATTTCAGTGTGAAGAGCGTTGCTTTCTGGTTCTGTGAACAGGCTTGAAGCCGCCACCCCCAACCCACAGTGCACACGCACTTCTACACATGCACACACACACACACACACAGAGAAATGCAGCATAAACAAACTGGAAAAGGTCTAGTGAGTTATCTAGTTCACTTTTACCTCTTTTAACTAAATCCCTGCAATTATGGCACATACTGACAAGAGAACCATAATCCCTTCTGATTTTATGTTTCTGTGACATGACATATGCATCATTCAGCTGCCAGGGAATTAAAATAAGTCCAACAAAGAGCCATCTTGAGGATTTGGCTCTCACTGTCTGCTCTGTTTCGGTAGACTGAATTAGAAAGCATCTTAATAGTGTGATTGTTAGTCACTGATAGAGGTATTTCACACAAGCTACTTTTGCCATTGTTAATGCTGTTGCCTAGCCTCATATTTTCCTAAGCCTTCTTTGATATAAAGAACACAGCCAAGGCCTGATAATGTCCGGGGTGTGCCACTTTGGCATTCCTGCAAGATGTTTCCATTGCACAATGTAAGACAACAACAATAACAAAAACTGTCTTCCTTGACTTAAACTGAACTCTTAGCTCACTCTCTGTATCCATCTATTGAAGAAAATGTCCCAGAAAAAAAATTGCATAACACATTGGTGTTCTATAGCATGTCTAGCT